GGACTTGTCACGGCAGCAGCGAGCCGAGGCCGCGGGTAGGCGGGGCTGCAGACTGAAATAGGAGATCCCCTGACGGGCAAGCCGGACTGAAGCGCACGTTAAGCTTGACCTGGGAAACCGCAGCACTCTGTTGAGACAACACACGCAGGCGGCATCAGGTCAAAGCCCTGAGAGTCGTACAAGGTGCCCCCCCCCCCCGCGGACACCTGTGCCCAGGCGTCCATTATGAACTTGAGCTGGCTGGTGGGGGTGCGCGTGAGGTCGCTCAGCTGCTCCAGGGCCTCCCCCGCAGTGCGCGCCGCCTCCTGCCGCGCCTTGTCGCGCGCCTTGTTGTGGGCGTCCCACCGCTCAAAGTAGTGCATGTACCTGGGGCCAGGCGGGTGGGCGGTCGTGGCGGGTGTGGGATGGCCGTGGAATGGGGCTGGGCGTTCAATTGAATCACGCAATGTGTGGACTGGTTTTTGTTTCAGCGTAGGGACCAGGTGCGCCAGGGCACACCTGGCCGCCGCGGGCTCAATTATGCCCTCGCTGAAGCCTCTCGCGCGCTGTCAGGCCACACACACACACACACACACACACACACACACACACACACACACACACACAAACACACACATACACACGTGTGCAACGACATGCAGCCACATGCAACCCCCTCGCCGCACGCGCGCGCGAGCACACACTCACACACACACAGCTCTTTCGTACTCGCGAGCACACACACACACACACACACACACACACACACACACACAGCCCTGACGTACTCGCGCCCTCCCTCCCCCCCTACCCCGCGGGCTGGTGCCCCCACCTCTCGAGCGACGCCTTTGCGTTGTCGCGCCGCCGCGCCTCGTCATCGTACTCCCCGGCCTTCTTGGCCACCTCAAACCTGTTGCACGCGTAGAACCCGCCCGTGCGCTCCCCGTGCTCCGCCCAGGGCCCGTTGCAGAGCCAGCAGAACTCGTGGCGGCACTGGCTGCAGGTCATGTGCATGCAGCCCTGGTTCTTCTCTATGGGCCGGTGGCACTTGGGGCAGGGCTTGGTGTTGGCGAGGATCCAGTTGAGGTTCTCGCTCTCAGCAGAGTTCTTGGTGATCCAGCGCCGCACGGTGTCGCAGCCCACGGGGCGGTGCGCCTCCTCCTTGCAGTTGAAGCAGAACGTGGCGGTGCAGGAGCACAGCACGTCCAGCGGCTCGTCGGGGGCGCGGTCCACCAGGCACGCCACCGCCGCGTCGCAGTTGGCGCCGGTGCACCAGCTCATGGAGCGGTTGTCCTCCACAAAGGAGCGCAGCGCAAAGAGGTCGTACTTGGCCACGTCACCCGCCGCCACCAGGGACCGCACCAGGGGGGACGGCACCTTGTTTTTTTGGGCCGGGGGGGGGGGGGGGGAGCAAGCAGAAGAAAGGGGGTTGAGGTTTCGCATGCGCAATTGAATGCACCTGACTGGAAGGTGGCAGGTGCCGCTGGCAGCAACTAACGGCAAGCCTGTCACAGCAGGCAGGTCCATCACTAGTGCATGCTGGGTGCATTGACGTATAGTCAGTGCCCCCTGTCACCCCCCCCCTCTGCTGGCAGCGCACCGCGATCTTGCAGTCGGGCAGGGGGCAGCGCAGGTCCAGGCAGGCGGGGCCGCAGGAGATGGCGTTGGAGATGTAGCCGCGCCAGCAGTCGCCGCAAAAGTAGTGGCGGCAGGGCGCGGCGTGCATGGACTCCTTGCGGAACTCGTCAAAGCAGATCATGCACTGGGGCAGCCAGGCGGGGTGGTCAAGGTG